ACACCTTACGACCTTAAGCATCCTGAGCAAGGACGCTCGCCGAGAGTCGCCATACGTCACCGACGGCTGGGCAACGTCACGAGGGCGCCTCTGGTGACGTCAGTGGCGTGCCGAACGAGATTAGATTCGCGAGGGTTTATCCACAGCCCACGCGTTTTCTGTCGCGATTAAAATGCCGCATCGTATTCGTCGCTCTGCCCGCGATACTAAGCCAAACATTCATCCTACGATCAACGCAAATCGGTACAGATGAAACTATCCGGCATTTTTTATGTGTCTAACGACGTAACAAGAAGTTACTAGGGTGTCTTTCGAATAGCGTATTACGTTCTGAAGTTTGAAAGTTGATAGCTGAATCCGAAGTGCTTTACAATCTCGAAGTGACCTAAATATCAATCCAAATCTTGGCAGGTCAAAGTTTGGACGCAATTATTCTGCTATTTTGCCCGTTACTTATGTAACAAGGAGTTCCTAGAGTCACGTCTTCAATAGTTGATCATTTCCTCAACTTCTGTTGCCGCTAATAGCCAAATCACATGTTCCAAATCTTGAAGCTTCATCGGTCGTAACTTGACGCTTTGACCTTAAAACCAATCCAAATCGTGGCAGATTGACGTCTCAATTTCGCTTTCTTTCTCGTTCGTCGGTGTCCGTATGACACCACCGTCGCTAAACGAATTCTCCCACGTGTTCTTTTTTCCTCATCCCGGCGTACTCCTCAACAGCTGCGGGGAAAATGATCGCCGGGTGCTTCCGTTTTGGCTACATTGTTGCGCAATGGGATCGGAAGCGTAACCAGAAAATGAACTGTTATTATCAACATTCGTCTGCGTTTGCAAACGTCAATTACGTCTGCACGACTATGAAAAGACACGATAGGACACCTTGAGGTCGCGGCATGCGCCACGATAGGCTAGCCACCGTGCATGCACAATTCGCGCTAGGTCGTACCTGTGTTGCATAGTGCAGGGAATGCAGAAAGAGAGACAAACGACACAGGAGAGGGGGGGCCACAGGGGGCACGCACGGAAAAAGAGAGAGCACGGACCCCGCGAAAAGGGAAGAGTGGCAAAGGTGAACGATAAAGTGGGAGAAATGAAGAGACGGCGTAGAGGACGAGAAATGAGGAGAGAGGGGGGGAGGGAGGGGGAGGGGGAGGGAGGGAGAGGACGGATAACACACCCCCCCCGCCCGCGGCGGGGGGGAACTGGAATGAAGAGAGGAAAGGGAGAAAAAGACGAGTTTATAAAGGGGAGTCGGGAGAGAGATGGCGAAATACCGGCGAAGAAACGAGAGAAAGAGTCCTCTTTCCTCCTCGATGGCAAGGCGTTCAGCGTTGCAGCCAGCGGCGGCATAAATCGGGCGAAGGGAAAACTTTTTGGGCGCGGAGTTACCAGTCGGTATCCTCCTGGCGCGTATATGCACGTACACACATATGTGTATGCGGTTTTATCTGGCGGTACTCGGGGATGTTGCGGGTTGATTTATCGCCTGTCGTTGCCATGGAAACCTCGGCGTGACCGGCTTGCGCGACACCCTCATATCCGAGTCGACTCTCTGCTTTGCCCTCCCTCGCCCCGTGTCTCTCTCTCTTATCAAGTCTCTCTTTTATCCCTCTCCTCGTCCTTCCCTCGACACGTTCTACTCGCGTTCGCGTCCTCTTCCTTCTGGCCGATCTGTTCGTCTCTGTCTCGTCCACTCTCAGCGTGCCTATCAGCTCGAGCTATCTCCCTCGATTATCCCCCCCCCCCCCTCTCACTCTCTCTCTCTCTTTGCCACAGTCTCCGCTCCCTCCCCCTGGCATTCTCTTTCTTCGAGAATATGTATATTCGGGCTACGTCTTTCCTTATTGCATTCCCGCTCTATTTGTCTTTACACCGTATCACCATCCCTCTTGTCTCTCTTCCATCTCCGTTCATTCCTAGCCCCGCGTTTCTCACCTACCGTCGTCTCAGGCGTTTCCCTTTCTTGCTCCCGTCGCGCGTCTTCCCGCTTGCCATCTCTGTTCGGCTTCGACCGTACGACCGTGTTCCCTCCCCCAGGAACGTTCATTTATCTCCCTCTCGGCGTCGTATCCTTTCTTTTTCCATTCCACTTCGCGTGGCGTCTCCCTCTTTCGGGCCCCATTCTCCACCACCGTCTACGCGTCTCTCGTGGCCCGAGCGCCGTCGTCTTTCTCCTTTCTTTGCCCGTTCCTCCTCTCCCTAGGGAACCCGATGGATTCGGTTCACCCACGCCTCGACAACCCCACTCCAAGGCCTCCAACCTCCCCGACCGCCCTTCAACCGTGCTCCTTGCCTGCGTCCTCGCGTCTCTCGCTCCCTCTAGCCGTCGTTCCCCGACCACTTAGCCGACCGACCAACCACCCATCCACCTACCTAACCCACCTACTCGTTTCGCCCACCCTTCCTTCCTTCCCACCCACTCTCATCTTCCCTTCGATATGCACCCCACGCTACTATCAGCCTACACTCCCACGCGCGAGCTTGAAACCCCCCAGAGGAACGTCAAGGAGGCGACTACCGGTGGAGTTCTCTGCAAAGAACGAGAACTCCGCCACCTTTCTCCTCCGCCCCCGCCGCTCTGTGCCCTCCTGGTCTCGTCTAACAGCCCCTCGTCGCTTTTGCTCTCTCCTGCCATCCTCCGCCGCGCACTCCGCCAATCGAGTGTCGACTGGCTGGTGGCTGGTGCATGTTCGCGCTGCTGCACAGCCCCGATCGTTCTGCACGATCTAGATAAAGAGCGTTATCTAACCGTGCGGCTAATTAACTGGGTCCTCTCGTCTAGTTATCACCCGGAGTACATTTCTTCCTCCCACTCCACGATGCGACTGGTAACCGATGTCAAGACGTGACTCCTGCCTTTTTTCCTCCTTTCTTTATATCAACTGGAACGGACCACGGCCATTAGCCGTGGAGTCGCGGTGTATTCGCGGATTCGCTACCAGTCCAAACGTTCTTCGATCGAGGTTTCGGACCGCTCCGAATACCGGCTATTCCCCATTGGGGGATATCTGGGAGACAGTGCGATCCTAGGTGCCGCAAATCCGCCTTCACACGCGTTCTGAATCATCGATGACTCTGGCTGTGTACCGAGGCTCCTGGATAATGAATTATCCAGGTACCAACGCGTGGGAGATTAATTCCCTTGATTAGGGGGAGAAAGTTCTCGTAAACGTTGACAAACGTTTCACGCGACCTTTTCATTTCTGATAAGCCAGGTTTTCAGGAGTGCTATGTATTTAACTTTCCACAGAGTTATATATACTTTCATACGTATTCTATTATAACATGGGAGAAATAGGGAAAACAATGGAAATTGTAGTTGTAGGTTAGAATGACTCGGATGCGAACCATGTTACCGATTGTGGGTAGCCTGCTTCGTATCGAGTGCCCAAGGGACTAAGACGTTTTATCATTTGAGCTAAACCATCGAAGGAATAAAAAATTCCTAGAGTTATGAAAGACCTGAATTGCATGTTTTGTCGTGTATCCTTTGGCGATCGTTCGCGTGAATATCGAAAAGTTCAGCTTAAATGTCGACTCTGGCAGTCATTTTGTTGTCCTATTCTCTTCCACGTGCGTGACCGAAGGAGGATCGATTGGCATATGCGGGCCCAATTAGAGATTCAGAATTACGAAACCCCCACCACGGGGTTAGATTACTTTCTTGAAAGACGAGTTTCATAACGAGTTCAATTACTTTCACGAATAATGTTCCCCGTTACTGGAAGCCTGGCTTCGGACTGGCACAAAACAGCTAATTGCTCGGTCTAGGAATTTCCGCAGTGACAATCTTTCCTGACGCTGGCAAGAACTGAATTTAATTAGTAGAAATCGCGATTTCGCTGCTCCTTTGGATTCGTATAAAATCGATCATTTTATTATATTCGATCTGTGGCGATTCGTACCGTTTATTGTATTTTTCTGCTGTAGGAATAGAAAAATTAAATGTTAACCATTGGACACAGTGAGTTATAATTTAGTTGCAAATAATTAGGAAACTTTCGAGAATAAAGTTCATGCGTTATCATAAATTTAATGATTTCTTCTGGAGTTGAGAAAATTGTTATCAATTTAAAGATATTTTTAATATGGTGATAATTTATTTACGTTGCGATAATCCGCGGACACAGAACACTGCACCATCAGCTTTGGGTAAGGAAGATACGTGTCGATAATTCGTACCATTTATCGATTTTCGTTGCAAATAATTAATAATTTTCTCTGTCTCCAGGTGCTCTGAAATAATTTCACCAGTCGTACCGTAAAGATTTGTTATAATCGCGTATTGTCCAACTTAAGATTAACTCGTGCCAAAGTCTTGTGAACTAAGAGCCATATGTAAGTGCATCCTATAGGATAGCCTCAAGAATACGAACCTTACGTCGATATGCGACTATCGATTTCTTTCTGTAAAGAAGACACGTGAATTGCAAAGATCTAAAACGCGATGCATCATCGTACAAAGAAAAGATTACCAGTGAAGTACTTCCAAGATCCATTTGAAGATCCAAGTGGAATTGGAGTATCAACGAATATATGTAAAACAAAGTAGGATCGAATGTTTATTGCGCATATGGCATAGAGAATTCTACGATAGGGCGAAAAACTAGGAGTTGTGTAGATCTATTTTTTTTTCACGTTGAAAGCAGAAATGAGAAATGAGGAAATAGAGCTGACCAATGCTCGAGGAAGTTATGGAAGATGATAGCGACACAACGAGGAGAAGAGACGGAAAATGTAAGGGCAGGGCGCTGGACCAAGGCGAAGAGAATATTCCTGAAGCTCCGTTGTCGGTCTCATTGTTATCGACCCGCTGGTATTCCCCGACATCATTGGTAGCACGATCACGTGGTGTCTATCGCCTTCCAACCAGTCAGCTCTCCCGTACAATGCACACCATTGACGTAACTTTAAGTAGTCCTGCCTGAAAGGTCATAGGCGCAACTCGAGTATAATCGACGCCTTATGTATGCATTACCAAATCGTTGAACCGCGAATCCCGAAAAAAGTCGCTTAACACCAATGGTCGACGACATTTCTTGATTCTGGTTCTGATTCGATGAACAATATTTTCTATACGTGCATTGGTAAAGCTGAAGTCACGTACGAAACTAGGAATGCTGAACTTGAAACTAAAAATATCGAGGAATTAAAACAATAATTGGAATACGAATAAAGATCTGTCGCAAGACTCTTTTAACGAAAAATAATAGTGGCAAGTTTTCCTTGATCTTACTCGATAACTCTTTTTATGTTTTGTTTTTTTGGCGACAGCTTTTATATTCTATACATTTTAAAACAATTAGGATCCTTTTGATAATTTTAATGGTTCGATGACAATTAAATAATTTTTGTTTGGTGTTTATTTTACACTTTTCGACATACTTAGCGGTACGTTTGGCTGGCTCATCATCGACGTCCTGGGTCGACACTGAAAATAGAAAATTAATCGAATTAGTATTTCGTATTATAACGTGTAAAAAAAATAATATTTAGTGTTGCATATGTTATACAAACTAAACAAATGATAAGAATCTTACGACCGCTAATACGGATTCTTTTATTATTTACATTCGATTCGCTCTTCAAAATGGATTATACTCTAATCATAATCAAATTTAAGATTCAATTATAAGTTTAAGCAATACATTATACATTGAATTAAGAAATCTGAAATCTTAAAAGATCTGAAAAGTTTAGATGGATGAACTAAATTTCAGAAAAATATTGCAAGTTTTATGATATTTTTCTCAGAGTGACCAATTTATATGATATTTTAGGAATTCTGCTAGAATTATTTGACTAATGGTTCTAAACATTGAATACATCTCTATTTTGTTATTAATAAGTCACGACTTTGATAAATTCTCTTCGCACATTAAACGACACTACAAGGTTGAACATCGTTTAACGACCCGAAATTGATAATATTTGGAACAGTTCCTTTCCATGCAGGTTTTAATTAAGCCAGACAACGGTCGACTATCGATAGCTTGCAGTGTGCACAGATGCAAACCAGGTTGCATATATGTAATTAGGTACCGCGTGGAAAACATCACGGTGCTTTTCATATGATAATTAACAACGTGACTACGGATTTGAGTCATCCATACGTAAACGTAATAAATTTCGATTTCGCTCGACGTTTATGTATAACAATTTTCTTCATTGTTTGGCCAAGCGCAGACATTTATTTGATTATCACAAGGAAAAGAGAAAAATACTCGGAACAATCGACGTTCGATGCCTTTTTACGTTATTTTGGATTCGTCAAGTAAACAAAAATACATTCTCTTCTCGAGATATTCAATATCCAAAAAACGATCGAAACTCTTTACGCGATGCCAGTTCGCTTTGTATCTATATTTAACAATGGCGCATTATCGTCGATTTTTTGCATAAAATATTGTCACTTTTTTAGGACACTGGACAAAGCATTGCGATAAGGAATGTGCGCTACCTGTTACAAAGGGCAGCCGTAGTTCCCGAGGAGTTGTAAAAAATCATAAAGAGCGGGAATAGGTCACGTTTGAATTTTTCAACAATTCAGGGCCCCAGGTGCATCTATATAAGCTGGCAGGGATATTCGTTGGAAAATATTGGCCGTGTCACTTTCAGTCTGGACTGTCTTAGAGCGAGTACGTCATGTCACACTTCGCACCATGGATTGCTTTGCTGATATTGATCGGATCTGTTGGGTCACAGGTTAGATATGCTGTACTTTTTACTATATTTTGAATATTTATTATATCGCGACTTTGCGCGACGAGTTTTACTAAAAATGTATTATTTACTGTTAGTACTCCAATTTGAAAATTACATCAATTCACCTTGTACATAATTATGTAAGGGTCGAGTTTCTTGTTTTCTGCTCGTGCAACTATACAAATAGGAAAACGGTTGTTAAAACTGAACTACTTTCGGGGTTTTTTAAAATTGTAAGATTTCTCTTGCGCGCAGACAAATTTAAAAACACAGAAATTTGAATTACTTCTGATATGTACATTAACTAAATTTAATTCATAAAGCACATTTAATTTTGAAATACAAACTTTCATTTATGTAATAAATCAGTTTTAAAAATATTGATTAGTTTAGATTTGAATAGCATGCATTTTCCGACACTTATTACGCTATAGCATTTTTCGATTGTAATAAGATTAACAGACAATTTGAAGATTAAATTCAATTTTACATTTATCTTGAACAATTGACTCGAATAACTGTTGAATAACTATCGTTCATTTGAAGTATTATAATTTAAACAATCGTCGAAAATTGTCCAGTTCAGACAACCATCCCTTGTATGCATTGATTAAAATAAGCAACTGTTTAGGTCGTATCAAACAACAACATAAAACATACAGATAACTATTTATTAACCACAAGTTGAATTTTTCTCATATCTTAGCAAGATTTAAATTTAATAGTCACTTTGGACCTCGCGTTTGATGAACATTTATATTTTTTCTTTGTTATTACAGGAGCAGTTTATGAGGGCAGATTTTATTGATCCACGCTCGCCAAGATTCGGTTTCGGTTTACTCGAACCCGTGCGAAAGTCGTTTTGCGACACTTTCTGCGACCCTTCGAGTCAATCGATATACATAGTGAACTTAGCTTGCCTTGTAAAATGTCCCGAGTTGTACATGAATCAAAAACCATCGAACCCTATGGTACCACCAAATACAGTGCCAGCGCCACCAACGATGGCGCCGCCAGATTTAGCAACAATGCAAGCTTCAACATCAGCGCCAGCGTCGTCAGAAACAACAGCTGCGCTACCAGCATCGCCAGCTACAAATGCAACAGGAGTAGCGCCAGAGGCGTCAGCTACAACGGCAGCGTCAGCTACAACGGCGGCGTCAGCTGCATCAACGGCGGCGCCAACAGCGACGACAGGCGCAGCAAACGCAACAAGCTCAACAAACACAACAGTTACAGCAATGCCAGGGGCGTCAGATACAGCAAACGGAACAACAGTTGCGACAACGCCAGCTGCATCAAACGCAACTACAGCAGCTCCTTAAAACACTATGTATCGTAGGATATTTCAAACACTTTCTTTAAATACAAGAATATTCTACTAACGAGCGAATGACTAATAAGAAATTGAGTGTCAACGACAATATTAGTAATAAGGATATTAATGTAAAATAATTTTTCTACTAACTCAATACTATGGACACCTCTTTCAATTTGTAACTTTACACAAACTGATAAAAAAGTGAGCTTCATTTTCTTGTTCGCTTACACGATTATTGTTCTCAGTCCCGCGAATACTGAATTATTTATTAAATCAATACCCCGATAGATATTAGATATTAGATAGATATTAGATATTAATTAGATCATACGAATTGAATGTTAACGGCGTTATTAATTATAACAATAATTTCTTAAATTTGTTTGTTTTAAATAAGACGTTTCTCTAACAACAAATATCGACTGCTGATTTTCACTTATAGAACGTGGCAAGTTTCGAACTCGTGCGCAGGATGGCGTTAGTGACGCTGATATTCAAAGCGCGATAAGGAACATCTCTGTTTTCATTTTTCTTGAATATTAAATGAAATCGATATTGTACATTATTTGCAATTTTAATAATCCAGTACTGAAATCGGCAGGCTAACAGTTCTCTTTTGTTTAATGTAATTGATACATAGAAATTGCGCAGGAAAATGATTAAATCGGATAATATTGACGTAATAATCCCGCAATAATGTTTTCTGGGATCAGTCTTTCATAGTTTTTACTCACTATGTATAGTGTTACTGTTCTTTCATGCAATTGAAGTAAACGTTAAATCCGGAACATAAGACTTTCAAATATATTGCCCGCGGAGAAACTATTTAGAAAGTGAAAATGAAAATAAACAAATGATAGAATGTAACAATACCGTTGAATAAATATACCTATGAAATAAATTGTACGTTGACGAGTTTACTTTGTCTCAACGAACTAATACGTAGAAAGTGCGAAGTGAAACGATTAAATTCTAGAAGTAGATACACGTTATTATTTGCGCGAAACGAATTCAATGTCGACGAGTGTCTCGTGATTGTAATATAATCCATAGTAATTTGCTGGAGTCGCGTGCACTCCACCGAAACTATGAAAGTAGACGACGATGCATCCGCGCGAAAAAATAAGACCTTGCTCCCGTTGTGAAAGTAATCTCGGGCAACCTATTACCAAGGAGCGTATGTCCTCTCACTTTCTGCATACGCGCTCTCACAATGAGCTGCTGGCTGAATTATATCAAACGAGGATTAACACCGTAAAAGGTAGTCGCTATTAATTACAGCGAAACAAGGGGAGCAGAGGCGACGATAAATCGCGAATAAAAGGACCGAGAACCCTTATTACCGTTCCAAGCTTGATTCGTTCACACGTTTGTGGATGTTACACTGCGATTATGTAATGCCAGCACGCCTCGAACAATTGTTTACCTCAACGTTGTTGGACGCGGCTGCAACCTTAATTGGCATTGATGTATGGAACTTCAAACTTAACGCTAGGTATACGGAGCACGGTCAATTTTGATCCATTCCGAATCACGCATGACTTCATATTTTTCGCCAATCAGTTATGCTGACTTGTATTCATATAAAGAGACGAGCATATATCCAAATTTATTTTTGTTCGAGCCTTATTAACTTCAGTAAATCGTCTGCATTTATTAAAGCATTACTTCAGTACTTACTTCAGTAATAGGAATCTGATGAGAGAACTCAGTAAACCTCGTGTTAATGTAACATTATAGCAACATTTTTATACCCTATCTCTTATTCACTTACACGCTTCGGTTAAATATTTCACGATCTCTTTGCATTTGCTTAGATACCTTTCTTCGTAATTCTCTAGCATTCCCATTAAATTCTCTAGCATGTCGGTAGCCTGTTGGGGTCCCCTGTCCCTTCCTCTCCCCATAGCTCGGGTACCACGGGATTGCTAAACCCGTACTGTAGCTACAATTAAACGTTAGCTACAGCCCCTGAGGGCAAGAATAAACGTGACCTATCGAAATATTTCCTAAAATTCTGTTTTTCTTTTCAACAGGATCGTATAAACTTCTAAAGTGCCACTGGATTATATCTACATTATTAAAGTTTTATTTAATTATTTAATTAAATTCTTCGAATTTAAATATAATTTATCAATAAAAATGACGGGCGATTTGTACACTTAATATAATTGTATATTTTATTCGAGTACTAAATAGGATTTCTGCTCACATGTTCATAAATACTAAGACGTCTTGGAATATGTGTTAGCACGTGTCCTGTCGCTCTATTGTTAAATTCCCGACGAGATTTCAATACCACGACGTACGAGTCCGTTGGTTTAAATTTAGATCGGCTAGACGCTCCATCCAGATAATAATAGGGCATTTCTATTCTCCCACGCGGACAGCTTCGACACTCGCTTGTATTACGAGCGTAGCCTCTGTTAAACTGGAGGGTCTATAGTTAGCACACGCGCCATAGGTCGAAATGATAGCACACCTTTTATTCTTCCATGTGAAACTGGCAGAAGAAATGTATGGTACTTGCCATCCAGTTCCTCAGCGTTACCAAATACGATACAGACCATCCCACTCGAAATCTATTTATATCGGACTTCCACGATACTGCAAATTTATTTGTTTCAAGGGGATACTCTCTTTGTCTAGGTTAAAAATAAATTTCTTGCTGCTTAAGGCCTTTAAAATAATTCTACCAAATTATATGAAAAAAAATGTTTAATTGGCAAAGTTATAATCGTCCTATTAGGCTAATCGAACACGAAACCCTATGACTAAAATCTCTTAAAATAGTCTCGAATATCATCGTTGTATTTCGACTGTATGATCGAGTCTGCGATCACCACTTTGCGAAACTTTCATTTTTTTGCATACCTTGCCGCGTGATTCACGACGGGCGAGTCTAGCCTGCGTATCCTGCAACGCTGTATCCTGTTATAACTATTGTTCAATGTCCTGTTAGCGGTTGGCTGGTCACCCAATCACAGTTTTACCATTCGTGAATCGTCCATTTTCTATTTTTACAAACCGTTCCTTGGATATTCCTTGTTTGTTCATTTTATTCGATAATTCAAATTCTATATATATCATGTCCCAAATGTATAAGTAAAGCTTGGTCACGCTAATAATACAAGAAATCGCTGAAAGTAATCCTGTACATGAAAAATAAATCACACGTCAAGAATGACAAGTCGTTAGTGTGAATGTTTAAGAGGAATAGCTTTTGAAACATTGATTTTCTCGTTCCAATGAGACTTTCTTTGATTACTTCGAGCAATGTATAATAGGTAGGTGATCTGGTTAACGTAAAGTTCCGAAGAAGATGGACATTATTTTGCAACACACGGTAAACAGAAGATCAAATCGACGCGAATGGGCGACTGAGTGACTGCGTGCGATCTTGATAGTCCGGTGTACTAATAGGAGATTCAGTGGTTGATACAGAAACGATCTGGTCACGAAACGGTGACTGAATAGTGTCGTCTTAGAAATGAATTGGCAAAGGTACAGAACTGTGTGTTTGGTGTCTAATAAAATTAACCGTATAGAAACGAATCGACGATGATTTAGGGTTGGATGTCGTTGGAATATTTCATTTGCGGTTGCTCAGGTTATTGAAGTGAAGTATATATTGTCGATGTACTTGTTTGATAATTGTTACTTTGAATGATGATAAAATATTACGGATACTGTGGAATGTAATGTAATGTAATGTAAGTGCATGGAGGGAAATTTCGTAGGTACAATAGAGTATACTGTCGTTGAAAGAGCACATGCTGGCAGTAACACGAAGTACTCCATTTTACGTACAAAATTTGCTCTCGTAGACCTTCTGATCGTTTAAGGCCTAGAAGGAGGTTCAACTTATTGTTATGAGTTACTACGTCGACTACGACATAAGTAGGCCACTAGTGATTAGAAAGCAATAATATATCTAGCAAACTATCAGCTTGGAACAATTATTTTGCAATTTCTCACGCCAAGGTAGACACAGATGAACAATATGTGTTCGCTAGAATTTACTATCCTATTTATATTCCATCGTTAGCGTTCACCAATGACCCCGTAGAATTTTCCTCGGAAATCGGGCATAAAATAGGTTGCAGAGGGCTAACCATCAATCTTCGAAGAAGTGATTAGGTGCTTAACATAAAAATTACTGTTCACACGGCCCTGTCAATTAAACGTTCTGGGAAACTCTGTGCCGATGGTTACTCGGTTCAGAAGAAAACGGGGTCAGAATACGCAACAGAATGTCTACGAAAAGTTCCTCCTCTCTCCGTTGCGTCTTCTGATCGCTTTCTTGTTCCCTTTCTTGGTTCCTCGAGCTGTCGCTCTCGTTTCAATCACTCGCGCGTGCGACTTCACCTCCAGCTTGGACTAGAGCCGAGATCTACCTATGCGAGACAAACGAGCTATTTAGATTGGTATCGAACGATGTTCTGATAAATATAGCGGGCCCCTTTTCGCGCGTCTACGCTCTTTCGATCAGCAGACAAGAGGGAACAGACAGGGAAGAGAAAGCTCCGTAGAACAATGGGTGGTACCGTGCGTGAAATGAAACCAGATCTGAGTGATCTGGACTGACTGGACAAACTACCGAACGCGTGAATCATTTGGCCGAATCGTCGGGTTATAGATTACGTGCAATTCCGTCTATTCAGAATTGATATTAATTTTTTAACAGCATCTTAACGATGGTGTAAGAGAAATTCGATACTGCTTTTAAATGGCGCAGTAACGACTCCGTGGGGAAAATTCGATATTAATTTTTGAATGGTGTCTCAATGACAGCATAACAGAAGTCCGGCATTAATTTTTATCACCGACCAATTACTTGGACGTTTTATGCGATAAGTCGTGTGCTCACATCGAACGACATATAAGGACGTTTTTACGAATGGAGTCGAACGGTGCATCTGCATTCGCAACAATGACGTCACCCACAAAAGAAGAACAGGTGCACCGCGAGATACCTTCGATGCCAATTGAGAATTAATCGACAAGTATTACCGCAGCGCGCAAAAATAACCCAGGTTGATGGACACCGTCGATGCTTGGGACGATGCTTGCCCGAATGGGCAAATTCATTTTATGTAAGCACTGACGTGTCTGTTTCTCGGAACAGTGGACGAATGTTCGTGTCAAATGTTTCAACACTGGCAGATATCGTTCGCTAATTAGAATTACATTTTGTGCTTTTTACAAGCTTACGCAAACGCGATATCCCCGTGGTATTCATTC